TAGTGAGCAAGAGGAAGGAGGCTGTGGCTATAAAAAGGTAGCGAGAGAATTCCTGGGAAGGAGCTGTTCTGTATTTTCCCTGGTGGTCATACATGAGTAAATACACTCTCACATGCACACACAAAACAGAGTGCAATGTGGTACTGGTGAAATCTGCACAAGGCAACTATAACGTTATTTGCTGGTTGTGAAACTAAGCTTTTTTTTTAAAGATTTATTTATTTATGCATACAAGAACTGGGGTAAAGACCAGAGGTGCCAGGGGTGAGAGGATTCACCAGAGACAGAGTGGGGAGCAGTGAAGGAGGACTGACTGAAATACACTGCTGAGGGGAGCAGCGGGCGAGACAGGAGAGGTCTGCTGCGCCGATACTATGCTATTTTGTCAGGTGCTGCCAATGTGAGAAACTGGAGAAAGGGCCTAGAGGATTTCTCTGCATTAGATTCTCTGAAGCCATAATTATCTCAAAATCGAAGTTTTCAAAAAAAATTTAAATTTGTCTAGACGGCTCTTAATTACTAAGTTTTGTTTAGAACCAGTAAAGAATTTTTTTTCTCTTTTGTCACCTTCTACCCTCACTCAACACCTACAACATGTACTTGTTTTCTCATGGCATCCGAACAAGTGACCTTGCAGTTTAAAAGATGGGAACTGGGTGTTGAGCAAAGAAGACTCCGCTTGCCCTCACCTCCAGGGCAGCTTTGAGGAGCCTGAGGAACCAAACCATTCCACCTGCCACTTTTTCAAAGCCTAAATGCACCAAGGAGTCTAAACTGGTAAAACAAAGCTGATATTTGCCTGGAGAATATAGCTATCTCCTAGGTCACTTAGTGTTTAAGATGCTTACAAGATTAGTTTAATTACCTTCCTTCTCTTAAGTCAACAAGAGCAAGCAAAGGAGTAAGCTCTATGGCAATGACAAGCCCTGGATGGAAGATAAGGCCTGGCTTGCCAAAACACCACTACAAGTTCCAAGGCCCTCCATTTGCAAGGCCAGCCTGTCCAATTAAAATAGAATGCCAGAAACAGAACTCACTTGACACTTTTATTAGCTACACTTTGCAAAGTAAAAAAACAGGTAAAAGTGATATCAAAAATATTGATTTAATGGCCAATAAGCATATGAAAATATGCTCAGCATCACGAATCAGTCATGGTCAAGGAAATACAACTCAAAACTACAGTTATCACCTCACACTCATCACAATGGCTACTGTCAAAAAAAGAAAGCAAAGTGTTGGAGAGGAAATGGAGATATTGGGACCCTTGTGCACTGTTGGTAAGAAGGTATAATGGCATTCGTTCCTGTGGAAAAGTTTGGGGGCTCCTCAAAAAAATTAATACTAGAACTCCCATTGATCGGGCAGTCTCACTTCTGAGGATATATCCCAATGAATCCAAAGCAGAATCTTGAAGGGACATTTGTACACCCATATTCATAGCAACATTATTTATAACGGCCAAGGGATAGGAAAAAACCAAGCATTCATTAACAAATGAATAAAGAAAATGTGGTATATACATGCAGTGGAATATTATTTAGCCTTACAAAGTACGTTCTGATACATGTTACAGCACAGATGAACCTCATGGACATCATGCTAAAGAAATCAGTCACAAAAAGACAAATACTGAATGAAGCCCTGTATATGACATACATAGAACAGTCAAAATCAGAGACGGTTACTAGAAGGGAGATTGCCAGGAGGTGGGGATGGGGGTGAAGGGATGGTGTTTAATGAGTATTGGATGGATAGTTTAATGAGTATTTAGTTTTGCAAGATGAAAAAGTTCTGGGAATTGGTTGCACAATAACACGAATATACTTAATACCACTGAATACTACACTTAGAAATGGTTAGGATGGTCAATTTTGAGTTATGAGCTTTGTACTGTAACAAAAATACATTTTTATGCAACTCAGTATATTCAGAATACTTTAACACAACTAGTACAAATGGAGGTATTTTCACGTTACTTTTTATGTACTAAGTCTTCAAACTCCAGTGTGTGCTGATGCTGACAGTACCTCTTAATTTGGTCTAGTCCCATTTTAAGTGCTCAGTACTCACATGCAGCTTCCCTGCTGGACCAGCGCTGAGCTAGACCTATCACCACCCCTGCATGTCAAACTCTCTAGCTAGATCCAAATAAACACAACCATATCCTTGACCTTTTCCAACTCTCATTTCCAATCGCACTGACTACAACTTCAACTACAAGTATGTACAGAACTCTGTACATGACATGTATTAAAAGCACCCAGAGAAGACATTTAACAAACCAACACCTCTGTCAGTGATATTTATTAATATCATCAATATTCACTAAGAGACATTAGCCAAGTTAATCCTCCCAGGGTAGAAGACTAAAATGTGGCAGAAGTGAAAAAACTCTTACAGATAAACACAATATTCTTTGAGCATATTTTCAAAAAAATCAAGGACATGCAGGAAAACCTGACGATGTTTCTATTACAAACATCTAAGTGCTGTACATCCCAGCAAAAACTGACTTCTCCTAAGAACAAAGACGCAAGAACAAAAAAGCAAGATACACTGTTCTCAATTCCAAGTTGCTGAGCACTAAACTATTTTGTGGATGAAGGAGCCTCTGGCTAAGGAGAACCTCTTCATAACCTCACATTTGTGTTGCACTGGCTGAAGCCAATCATAAAGACTTCTTTGTGAAAAATGTATTTTGCAATAAATTATCAAAAGCTTCATTGAAGATCTTAATGGATACTGTTGGATAAGGAATACTAAACACAGCCAAAAAGAGAAGAGAACCAAAATTTATCAACTCAGCATATTTCAGTGGTCTCCAGGCACCAAGTTAACATTATGAGAATGGCCAGGACAAAATGTTATGGAGTAGAGAGGTTGTAAATTTTATTCCTCAACTTAATAAACTCATATCTGGCTAAGTTCTCTTCTTCCCATCCCAACTCATTCCCTCCCCAAACAAAGCTCCCAAGAACTTAATACTGAAAACTTACCTTGGTACATTAACTTATGAATTATAACTAAATTATAAGTTATAACTTACAAGTTATAAATTCCTTATAACTTTCATTTAATTCTATGCATTAAACTTTAAGTTATCACAACCATCTACTGAATGTAATTAATATTCAAAAATTACACCTCAGGATCCATTATTTTACTTCAAAGGTACAACAGTAACTTTGCTTAATAATTTAGATTTTGATCTCTAAAGCTCCACATCTGTCATCTCAAGTAATGGTGATTACCTTGTAATTAGCTTACTAAAAAGCATGTCACCAAAAAAATAAAAAATTTGTGCCTACCTTTATATTTAATAAATACACTAATTCACCTACTATTGCTGGTTAATGGGAAGGAAGAACTATTTTTGTGCATTAAGATACCACCTGGAGAGATTCATGCACAGATCTGCAGTAAAAAACTGCAACAGCTTCCAGACGATCCTTCAGGCACACAGGTTTTAAAATATACACACCATAAAGTCCCGTATCTCACTCAGTAACGCGGCAGGCTCATTCACTCAGGAGCATTTTCAAGGGCATAAAAACATGCAAGCATGAAGCACTTCTAAGGTAGAAATGCATTTGGGAGGAGTAGTAAGAGTAGTAACTAAAGCAACTGACACTGAAACTTAAAGGTCCTTCTCTGGAGGGGTCCTTGTAAAGTATCTCTCAGCATTTAGCAGATGTGCAGTTAACAATAGCTACTGGAGTTTTTGCCATTTCTGCCTGTTATTACCCAGCTGTGCCTGACCCGCTGAGGTTCTTCTAACTCCGTAACATGGGGACACATTTACAGGGTTTACTCACTGAAGGTTAGGAAGGACTGACCTACAAAGGCAAGATCTGTCACTGTATTCCAGCAGTTAAGAGTCTACACTGATGACTTTGGCAAGGTATGATAAAAATTACAATACTCTATTCTAGATTTCTTAATCGATTATATGTTGCCATTTATTTATAATTTATTAATATAGGAAAGAAGGATTAGTCTGCACAAATGGTAAATCAGAGTCTGCTGAGTCCTGATTAAGCCACCAACGGTGACTTGAACCAACAGAGACGAATCCCTATATCACGGCTGTCATAACTGAATCTACTCAAAAGTCACATGTTGGAGGTTTAAGGGTGAAATCAAGTAATGTGGTTTGTACAGTGCTTTCAAAGTTCTAAATTAGATGCTAATGTTTAAATGGCGAACGTTTTGGCATCAAAATCTGTACTTTGGATTATTTTGCAATATTAGAAAAATTATTACTCTGAAATCATACTCCTTCGCAGCCACAACTGGGGGCAGCCCTAATGGAGAAGGAGCAAATGTTCTCCAATTTGTCATAATCCCCATCAGGTCATTCCCTCACTGATGGGACTGCCAGATTTTTCTGGGCATTTATGTTTGTACTCCTGATTCAAACCTTTAACTATCTTTAATCCCTGAAAGAAAAACCCACAACCTAATCCCATTAGTGCTATGTCCAAACCCTCCGAGCAAACAAAGCAAGCCCAAAGAAGAATCTGAGTAGAAAACAAACCATTTTTCACGGTTCTATGTTGATACTGCTGACATTAACTAGTTTCTACTTTTTAATGCCATTTTTGAACATCATTAACTTGTTCCATCTTTTCTTCACACTTTTGGCTATGTTATTAAGCTACTTGCTACAACTGACCATGTGGAATGTCATTAGTAAGTAAATCTTGGTGGCTGGAATGACTCACCACAGTTATATATGTTAACAAAGGCAGCAGGGATCTGAGCTGGGCTGCCTAATAGGCTAATGCTTGGGGCTCCCAATTCCTCACTAGGACACTCGGTAATACTAAAAAAAAAGTTGATGTTTTATTTGACACATCCTCCACATTCCCATCAAAGTAGGGAAGAAATCAGTTATAAAGGGCTCTAAAATTTCAAGGCTTTACATACTACCACAGGCTTTAAACAGAAATTCAAACAACCGCACGTTCACTGCCTCTTACCCGGGTATTGCTTACCCATTGCACTGAGATAATGGTTGAAGGCCTGGCAAGGAGGACTTGGGGTTTGTGTTGATTTGTCACAACTCATGGGTGCCGGGCTCCTGTCTGTGTCAAAAGAGAAATACCCACTGGAGGATCGAGACAGCAGGGAGGATCTTCTCACAAAGATGAAAAGCGGGGATCTGGTAGCAAAAGGGCCAGGGCTGGCCGGTGGGGCCAGCGGGCCCTGAGGGCTGCCTTGGGGGCAGCGGTCCCCTTCGACTTCGTGATTACCTTGGGGCTCTGTCTGTAGAGAGGTAGGGGCCCCAGGCCTGAGCTGAGGAGGCCTCTCGGCAGGCTGCAATTGTCCGCCTTCTCTGTCACACTCACAACTTACATCGGAAGGTTGCTTTGCCATTTGGTCTTTTTTTCTGCAAATAAAATGAAAACTAAAATTACCTACAGCAAAACAATTACAAGGCATAACGAAATTAGGTAACTTTCCCCTACTCACTTAAAATTCTTAGCGTTACTCCCCAGCACGTTAAGTCCTTTTTTCTTACACTCCTCTGAAAACTTCCAAATAATAATAAAAATACACCTAAAACAACAAAGGCATCTTTGGGGGGGAGGTGGGGGGTGAAAGGGAACTAAACTTCCTGCCACCAAACAAAACACAGCAGCAATGTCAATCATTTGTGGAACTAGAGCTCTAACGCACACACGAGTTTTTGGAGAAGCAGCTTGTCTGAATTCTATTCGCAAGTGCTCTCTGCCCGGGGCCGACTGGAGTAAGTCAGAAACTCCCAGCGGGCTCTGATTTCCCGGGATCAGATCCGGCGCTGGAGCACAGGAGCGGGCGCACAGGCAGCGACTGCAGGCGGCTGGCCGCGTTCCCTGCTCCAGCCCCATTGTTCTGCCGAAAGTGCTGAGGGCAGCAAGTCTGGGGAAGGTTTGGCAAGGGCCGTCAGTCGTAGTAAGTGCGTCACAATAGAGTTTGTAACTCAGAGCGCGGCTCAGCACGACTCCGGCGCTCTCCGCCCGCGGGTCCTCTCCGCACCTCCTCCCGTGGGGGGCAGCGCGCGGCACCCAAGCGGACAGAGCTGCGCCCAGGTACACCCGCACCACTAGGTGCACGCCGCCCAAGGGGGCTGGAGGGAGACGGTCCCCGAAGCTGCTCCCTGGCGCTCCTCGCAAAGTCCAGAAGTAACTCCGCACGCGAGGGCGCAGCGGGACGCGCGCTCGGGGAGCCCACAGACCCTCCCCCTGAAAGCCAGCGGGCCGAGACTCACATCCGCCCCTGTCCTTCCAAGCGTCGCGTCCGGGCCCGGGCCCCGCGGCGTCCGGCCCGCTCCCTTCGCCGCCCTGGAGCCCCCCGAGCGTCCCCACGAAGGCAGCGTGGGAGACAAAGCCTGGGACTCGCCTCCGGAGCCCCCCGGGCCGCGCAGAGCCCGCCACTCGCCGCCCGCCAGGCGCCGCGCTCCGGGCAGCCGAGGGCTCCGCGCGCCGCGCCTCTGGCCCGCGCTGCCCCGGCCGCCGCCGCCGCCGGGAACATCCTCCGCCTCCTCCCGCTCCTCCCCTCGCGCACTGCGCCCGCCGCCGCCGGCACCGCCGACCTCCCCGCGCCGCTGGCGCCGGGTGCCCGCGCTCCCAATTGGCCCGCGCGCGGTCGCTCCGCGCCGCAGCCAATCGCCGGCCGCGCCGGGGGCGGCGCCTACGGGTCAGGCCGCCAAAGGCGAGGCGATTGTTGACAAACTCGGCTCGGAGCGCGGCCCGGCCGTGGCTGTGGCCGCGGCCGCGGGGGCGACGGGAGGCTCGGCGGAGGCTCGGTGCCCGCGGGCGCAGGGCTAGCCCGCCCCGCCCCGCCCCCGGTGCCCGTCGGGGCGCCGCGCGCGCCGGAGCAGTTCCCGCCACCCCAAGGGGCCGGCCACCGGAGACAAAGCGAGGACCCGCGAGCCCCCTGGAGCTGCAGGGCCGGGCTCAGACCCGAGTCCGGTCGCCGTAACACCCCCCACCCCTGTCCCGGCCCGCAGGGTGAGGACTTAAAGGCTGCGCCCTCCCCAGCTGCAGCATCCATTCTCCTGCAACTTCCTCCCGCTCCCAGCGCGCCGCGGACACGCACCCATTACGCGCGACCGCCACTGGCCACCGGCGTGCAGACCCGCGCGCACCGGTGACCACGGCGGGCAGCAAACATACCCGCACTCCTGTCCCCTCCCTGCGGCTGGTGGGTCTTCCCATATGCCAGCAGCAACCTGGAGTAACAGGTCCCCCCAAACCACGGCACCGCCAGCCAGCAAAAGAGCGGGTCGGCATGTTCTCCAGCAAGCCCGACACGCCACGACAGCGCGGCCCCACGGATCGGGCAGGGTCTGCTGTCCACCGAGTGGCCCCGGCCCTCGGAGGAGGCCCTTGGTCTCCTGCTGACTGCGGCTCTCGCGGTTGGCACGGCGCGAAGGGCACCCGCAGATCGGGCAGGGCCGCCGACACGTCGGAGAGTGCAAGCGCGGCAGCTGCCCGAAACTTCGGCCTGAATGAGTAAAAGGAAAAGCCGAGTCTCGGCAGTTAAATCACCACCAGAGTCCCGCGCCGGGGAAAAGCCAAGACGCTGGATCCGCTCGCACCGCCGGGCGCTGCTAGGGGGAGCCGGGGGAGGGCGCGCGGCGAGACTTCCCGACCCGGCGCGCCGCCCGGCCAGTGCGGGGGAGCTGGGCCGCGCTTTCCCAGCCGGCGCGGAGAAGGCGCACGCTCCCCCCGGAGGTCCCGGGGGTCCTTCCCCTCCCCGCCCGCTGCGCGCGGCTTCCCGGTGGAGCCGCACTTCGTCCAAGTGCCCGCGGCCACTAGCGGACGCGTCCTGCCCTAGAGGCTTGTCCAGAGCGAAGGCACCCGCACGATCGCCGCCTCCCGCTGGCGACCTGCGGGACAGGTACGTGCGCGTCTGCCTGCACGTGCGCGGGAAGCGGGCCGGAGGTGGGGTCGCGCGGGCTCCGCCGCCTGTCTTCCACCCGTACCCCGAAAATCGGAGGCATTTACCTTGCGTTTCTCAGTCCGAGAGTCAGAGTCAGACATTGGGGGGACGAGGGCCAGGGGAAAGGCGCCGAGCCGGTGGCGGCTAGAGCGGGGCGAATCGAGCGGCCCGAGGCGATGCTGGCCGCGGTGGGCCAGGGCGCGCAGGGCGGCTGCGAGAATCTGGTGGCAGTGGTGGTAGGGACGCGGGACGCGGCGCTCCGACTAGCTCGAGACCTGGCGGCAGCGCTGAGCGAAGTGAAACCTGCGCGGCCCAGCCGCCGAGCCCAGGCTGGTGGCCCCGCGCCCGGGCCCAATCACCGCGGGCCCCGCCCTCGCCAAGTCCCGCCCCGGCGCGCGGGCTGGCAAACCCGCCCCCGAGGCGCCTGGGCCGCCGGCGCGTGCAGGCTCCGACAGGTATACGCGGGGGTGGCGCGCTGCCAGCCCGGCCCCCGCCCGGCTGGTTTCTTGAACACCGGTCTGGAGTTGCTGACGGCAAACTGCTGGCCCATCCCCCACCCAAAAGTGTACCCTCACCTCCGCCCCGTGCAGTGGTCACCGCGGTGTGAGCGTGGAACAGAGGGGGCGCTCCGGACGCTTGAGAGCCAGGCACTGCCGCCGCCGCCCGCAGAAAGCCTCAAGAGGCGCCCCTGAGCCCTGGTTCTGCTGCGGGAGTTTCTCAGTCGCTCCGGACACTTCGTGGTTCTCCAGAACGCGCGGGACCAAGGATGAATGGGGATGTCCGAGCTCTCCCCGCTCGGAGATTCCCGGGCTCCGGGGGGAGCCGATCAGCTAGCTGCTCGTCTGCGTCTCGCCTCCCCCAGGCTGTGCGCTTTGGCACCCTCCTCTCGCCACCCATAGAGGCACCTAGCTTTCCTCCCGCGCTGAAACTTTGGGGAGAGAGCCTTTACTGGGGCCTTTAGAAAAGAGCGAGGAGCAATCCCCCGAGGCGTCTCTGCGCAGCGCGCGTGCGGGGCGGGAAGAGTGCGCCCAGAGCAAATGAAACAGAAAAGAACTTGAAAACATTACTTTAAATAAATTAAAAAAAAAAAAAGACCGAGAAGATCACGGCCTCCAGGTGGGAAAGAGGGTGCCTATTTCGGAACCCCGAGATTTTGGGGGCTCTCAGAAGCGGGTGAGGGTAGAGGGGAGCGCGGAAACGTCTCTCGGCTTACCGAGACCGGAGAAGGCGGCGCTGCCTGATTCGGGTAGCTCTTGGAGAGCCAAAAAGAGGGCTCGGTGCCGCCCCTGTCCCCCGCGTGCCCCCATCATTACCCCTCGGAATCCGAGCCCCACTCCTGCTACTTCTGGAGAAGACCGCGCTCCTCAGGCGCGGCAGTTCCTCCACTGGCTCCTCACCCCCGCTTGCCCCCCAAATGCCGTGCCCACTTGGACCTCTCCCAGTGCGCCCTGGGCTTTGAGACAACTGCGGCTTGGAGGGGGCTGGGGCGGGGGTCAGTGGGTCGATGGGACATCCCGCCCCGCGGGGGAGTCCAGGATGGCCGAGTTAAAGAAACTCAATTTACGAGGCGCCCTAACCAGCACTCTGAAACGAGAAGGAAGGGGCCTCGTCGCAGAGAAGTCAGCCAGCCAGGCGCGGTCCGGTCTTCGGGCCACCTTGGTCAGTTTTTATTTTTAAGCAGATAACGTCAGCGTGACCTCGTGGCCTTTGGTTATGTCTTCTCCACGCATCCTCCCGCGACTCCTGGGCCAAGTGAAGGAGGCCGTGGGTCCTCGAAGGGCTTCCAGGACGCGCCCGGGACGCGGGCAGGGGTTTTCGCGGCAGGAGGGAAGGGACGTAAGCTCGGGCGTAGAAGCCCGAGGTCTGTCCTGACTCTGCTGGGAGCTCCAGCCGAGGAAGGCGGGTGGCCCGCTGGCCAGCTCCGCGCCCTCGCCCGCAGGCACGACCGCTTGAGGCCAGCCACGGAAAAGGCTGCGCCCGCCGGGAACCCCAAACCCGCTGCGCGCCCGAGTGCTCTGCGCTCTCGACAGGGTTGGGCGACGCAGACATCCACCGGAAAAGAAACACGCAGAAAAACACCCTGGTGGTTGTCTTCTGCTCCTGTGCCGCTCCACCACCCCCGCGTCGTCCGCTCTAGCGACCCTGTGAGAGCAACTTAAAAAAAAAACACATATACACACACACGGAGGTGTCGGGAAAGCAACCGGCAGAACGCTCCTATTTGGGGCACAATTAGATCTGCCTGGAGGCTGCTGTTTATGCATCCCGGACTCCTGGGGAACTTAGGCCGAGCGCCCCGTTTCGGGTGACCCCGAGCGGGTCCAGCCCAGCCCCGAAGCTTGCAGGTCCTGCCGAACCTCGGCCCGAGTCCAGAGAGGGGACAGCGTGTGAAGGGCAGGTAGGGGTTAGATCTGCGTTCTGGTCCTTGATATCACCCTTATGGACAGAGGTAAGCCCCCTCCCGCCTCTGCGATGTGGAAAGGGTGGAAGGGCTAGGGCTTGGACTGAGCAAAATGATCAAGAATTAAGTTCTGGCAAAGGGATTCTAACAAATGGGAAATCTACAGCCCTCGCGGGGACACTCGCGTCGAAGGTGTGCTCTCCCCAAGTTCCCAAGCCAACCTAAAATCAGTGTATGACCCTGGCACGCCTCCCGGGCCTTTGCAACATCGGGGACGCCTTCCCATGCTTGAATTTCTTTATTATTAAAGTTTGTATCTCTGGTCTTCTAAAGAACAGATTACAATTTCGAGTGGTAGAAATGTTTTCCGCGCGTCGTTTTGCAGCCCGGAAGCCGCCTGCCTGGGAGCACAAGCCGGAGCTCAAGATTTGCCTCGAGCTCACACTCCCCTCTTCTGCCCATGCTTTTCCTCGCAGAACCCAAAGGGTCTGATTCATTGGAAAAGCATCACTTGCTAAACTGAAACTCCCCCCGCGGTGTTAAGATTTTTATGCTTTGATTTGTTTTCCACCCAGCACCGGTTTTCCAAAATCACTAGGCATCTGAGTCATGGCTGAGACTTTTGGTGGAGCCTGGCTAAGCGGGGCGCTCGCTGGGGAGCCCACTCTGTCCTGGGGGATCTGACCAACTAACTGGTCGAGGCCAGGCCAGGCGCGGTTCAAGGAAAAGTAGAAAGCGCCGAACTCCCCCGGCGGCGAGCTCGCCCTTCGCCAGCAGCCAGTCCCGCGCCTCGCCAGGCTCAATGCGACCTCGGCTCCGCGGCCAAAATCCCCAAGGGCCGTGGCCCAGCGCGAGCCTGTGAGGCCTCGGCACTCGCTCCCCACGTCAGAGAAGCCAGCATCGTGGCAGCTGCGGGCGGGCCACCACCCTTCCCGCCACGTCTGCTATAACTTGGCTCCCAGTTTAGGCCGCTGAGAGCGCGTCGCTTTCGCGGCCACCGGCTGCTCCGGCATAGGGTAAAAGGCCCAGGCCGCCGGGGAGCTGGCGATTCCAGCGATGGGTGCGTGGAGGGAGGCGTGAGGAATGTTAAAGGCGGAGATCACCCTCAGGGCATCATCCTTCACCGAGTCGCACAAATCCAGCAACTGCAAAACACAGCACCAAGAGATAGGTCAGAAGTTGGTTCACTCACGGCAATCTAATGCCAGATGCTTTATGCCCACCCCCAAGCTCCCGCACACCCAGTTGCAGCTACTTTCTTTTTGGATTTCATGCGATCCAGGAGGCGGAGAGGCCTCTGTGGTTATGAATAAACCCCGCAAGTCTTTTTCATTTTAGAAATTCCTAATTTTGTGACGCCTAATCTGGCAAAAGTCCACTGATTCTGTTAAAGGGGGGTGCACTCCAAATGATCTGGACAGCTCAGAACCGAGGTCCGAAAAATTACCAACTCCCCCCTCCCTTCCAGTCCCCTCTTTCCCCCTCCTGGCCACCTCTGAAGTGGCTGGGGTGCCACCCTCTGGTGTGCAGAGGCAACTGAACTGGAAGCGCTCAGAACAGGTGAGGCAGAGACCTGCCCCCGTTCTCCCAGGACTAGTGCCTTCCCACCCAACCCAAAGTATCTAAAATGCAAACCCAGTTTTGTTTTGGTTTGTTTTTTTTTGCTGGGGGGGGGGGGAGGCCAGGATCCAGCACTGACATCTTTCTGCCCCTTCCACCCAGCAACTAAGAGAATCTACCTGCCGTTCATCAAACACCAAGGAATTCCAAGGAAGCCCTTTGCCTACCAAACCTGTGGAAGGCACAAATAAATCCTCCCAGCAGAGAGGAGGGGATTCAGGCCAATGATTTCAGAGGAGCTGTGCTAGGTGTACTTTTATTTCATTTTCCATGATTTAAGTGTCACTGTATTTTTATCCACCACCTTCCACCCCCACCCCCAAAGCTACTAAAAATAATAGGTTGCTTTTCTAAAACTCAACAAAGATAGAGCAGAGAGGTTGCTTCCCCTTCCCAAAACCAACTACACATTTTACTCCTGCGTTTTTGACATTTTCAGTAGACTTAGATTTCTTTCATTCACCAAATTACAGTTAGCCACTGGGTTTTTATGGTTTATTTTTATGGTTAAAAACATCACTGACACCAGTCCCACCTTTGCCCTCATGGTGGTCATCACTGAGCTACACGAATGCTCTGAAGACCACAGTTGCTTTGCAGCAGCCCAAAGTGCCATTTCAGGTGCTCAGAGACACAAGAGGCGTCCCCAAAGGGGGTGGGGGGAGAACTGGAGGAAGATGATGAATTCTAATAGTCCAAAAATACACCTTCCTTTAAAATGTGCTCATCACATCAGTAATTTTTAATGAAAAACTTCATTCTTCACACACTGTGGTTAAGCACCATCAAATCAGTACTGAAAAGACTTTGATCACATTTGCAAGATGCACTACGATGAACTTTCACTGACCAAGATTTCAAAGTTTGTAATTAATACTCTTGACAAGTCCCTGACTAATCTGTCAACTCTCAATGTCTTTAACCACACAGTTGAAAACTAGATGATTTGCACAGCCCCTGAACCTTCCGCCTCTGTAATATGATTATTCAAGAGGACTTTTCCTTCGGGTTTGCTTTATGAATGTCAACCACTTTTTGTCCTATATACAGCAAGGGGAGAACTTCAATTTTTTGAAGGCATGTTGTAAGGAAGAGAAATTTGGGGTTCTGATGCCCAACTCAGAATAAGGGCCCATATGTAGAAATTATAGAAGCCATATTTCTGGTCAACATTTTTTTAACTTTAAAAAGAAAAGTTTTTTGTTTTTTTTTTTTTTAAAGCCTTCAAAGGCAGGTGAAGGTTTTCTCATTCCTAAGCGCTTAGGGAGTGACCCCTCCACTGATGCTCTAAAGAGGAATGTGATATTGACTAGGAAGATCAAATATTGATGGCTAAAATTCTTTCTAAGCTTAAATTTTGGGGGCTTTCTAAAATACTCTTCCTTCTGGCTCCCTCCATTTGTCATGGACTGCAACAGGAAGCCCCAAATTAGTAGCATCTAGATTGAAGGATCAGATAGCATTCCTGGGGTGACAAGGTTGATTCTGATCGCAGGTATCCTCCCACCTCTGCCTTGAGGATAATACTAATGGCCATTTTATTACTAACAGTGTATGCCCTGGAGTTCTACTCTGCTAGGCTGGGCATTGGAGGTTTAAGAAGTACACATTGTGGACCCAGCCCCTTACATAAAATAAACTTAGGTAGCTAATGTAACATTGATTTTTATAGTTACCTTGTTTTTATTACCAGAGCGCCCTAGAGCACTAAACAAAGACTACTAAAGTTTACTTTTATTATGCATACTTCCATACTATTAGCATAAAAATGCTATATATTGTTGGGGCCCCCTGTCCTGCCAGTTTGTGATCCAGTTGTACTGGACAAAGTACCCAAAGCTCATACATCTCTTACAAAGAAAAGTCACCAGCTTAAAAACAAAAACCACCAAGGAAGACGTGTGTCCATTAAAAAAATAAGAACATGAGTAAGTTGTCAATTCTTGCAAAAAATTTTAAAAGTACAGACCCACGACATGGGCAGTATTGCTCTAAAAAACAAGAACAACTTAGGAGCCACTAGAACTATCCTTGAGTGGGATTTGAGAATATCTACTTAAAGAAAGCTGAAGCACTTAGCCTTCCATGGATAGCATGTGGGTATGTTAATAGGTGGATTTTCAGGGCCTCGTTGGTGGCCTAAGGGTTAAGTCTCAGTGTTACCAGCCCCTGTGGCCTGAGTTCAATCCAGGGCCAGGGAGCTAACCCACATGGTACAGCAGACTTCTCCTGTACAGCAGACCTCTCCAGTCTTGCCAGCTGCTACCCTCAACAGTGTATTTCAGTACATCTGCCTGCTCTGCTCCCCACTCTGTCTCTAGTGAATCCTCTCACCCACCCCCCCAAACCTCTGGCCTATACCCCAGTTCTTCTATGCAAAAATAAAAAATTAGAAAACATATGTGGATTTTCAGGGCAGGGAGGAGGAACATTTAGAACATCACTTCAGCTTCCCACCCACTTGGTTCCCACCCATTATTTCTCTTCCTCTTCTTTTTGACTCTCCCTGCATTTTCCTTACTCTAGTTGGGTCAATAGGACTGCTTGGGTGGACAATGACTGAGCTTTCCAGCCTTCTAAATAAATCCTGTTTTTCTGTGGTGTTGATGTCAATAACACAACAGATGTTCAAGTGTGCCCCACGCAATTGCAGGGACCACCGCCTCTACCCAATAGATCCATCAGATGACCTCATGGTTATCTCTGTGAAATATCCCTCAACTAGTCTCTTTCTTGCTTGCGCAAAGTGATAGTTCTTTTCTCCATCCCTTGAACCTGGGCCTCCCTATGACTGCCTTTGACCAGTAGAATGTGAAAAAAGTGACACCATATGAGTCCTAGAGCTGAAGCCTTATATATTTTTTTTAAGTTGAAATAACATTGGCTTATAACATTATATAGGTTTCAGGTGTACAGCAGTATAAATCACCATCGGTATATACTACTTTATGTTCATCACCAAAAGTCTAGTTTCCATCCTTCAAACAACTGACCCCCTTTACCCAATTTATCCACCGCCCCACCCTCTTTCCTTTAAGTGACCACTATTTTGTCCTTATAGTCGAAGAGTTTGTCTTTTGTTTTTTTCATTTCTGTTTCTACCACATATGAGTGATATCAGGTGGTGTGTGCAGAGCTCAGGCCCTAAGAAGCCTGTAATTCCCACTCTCCCTCTCCTGGGAGCCTGAGATCACTTGCTATGCAGAAGGCCTGTATAGGCTGATGCCTACCTGGATGCCACATGGAGGACCAGGTGCCTCAGCCAATAGCCAGGCTGGCTGCCAGTTGTGTGAATGAAACACCTTTCCCCCCCTCCCCCCACTGCCCCAGTCCTGCTGAGCTCAGATTACAGCCACAGGAGTGACCCTACTAAGACTATGAAGAACTCCCCCCATGTTGCCTACCTTCAGAACTGCAAGAAATGAACAATTATTGTTGCAGGCCACTAAGGCTCAGGGTGGTATGTTACATAGCATCATAGAAAGGAAACAGATACCATCCTTAAAAAATTTTATTTATTTATGAAAGAACTGGGGTACAGAGGGTGAGAGAATTCACCAGGGACAGAGCGGGGAGCAGAACAGGCAGACTGACGAAGTACACTGCTGAGGGGAGCAGCTGGTGAGATAGGAGAGGTCTGCAGCGCCATGTGGGTTTCTCCCTCGCCAGCTGGGAATTAAATCTGAGCTGCAGAGGCTGTGGACAGCTTCACAGCACTGCACTCAACCTGCTGCGCCACTGGGGAGTCCCCCTTAAAAAATTTTAAATTACCATTCACAGGGTCATATTCAGCTGCACTTCTGCCCTCTTAATTATCTGAGGACAAGTCTATAATTGTGCAATTAAAGCAGTGAACAGTGAGGTGTAGCTTACTAATAGGCTTAGCAAAAGAGAGACTTGTACTCCTAAGAGAATAGTTCATAAAGCCAAGTGAGTGTCAGGAGTGCCTGAGAGAGAATCTGAAGAGTGGACTGGACCACCCCCTGCAGGTCACCACCACCCCTCCTCCATTTACAAGACAGAACAGCCAACTGGCCTTTGAACCTTTGAACATCCACTCACCCCTCCTCCACTTTTGTTAGGGATATTTGCTTACAACAAAATACTCAGTAAAATTAAGGTGGTGAAGGAAGAAAGAAAACTATTTATAGCCGCCGGGGTAACAAATTTGGTAACTGGTAGGTTCTCCTGTGACATCAGCAGAAAGGATGGGGCTTCTTGGGCCCAGCAAGTCAACAGGTGCAATGGGACACACAGGCACACACTCATCTCCTTACTTCATGGGGCTATAGTGTTCCCCTCCTCCCAGAAGTTTCTTAAACAAGGATGGCCAACAGGGGTCATCACTAAAGCTTGCTATCTGTCTATTATTAAGTGTTTGAGTGAGAGAACCAAGCTCACAAGTGGCTGGGAGGCTGGGGTGAGGAGGGAAGTAGGTGAATGTCACACCAAAATGCAGCAAAACAGGGTTTCTGAATCTCTGGACTGAAAATATATCATCAAGGCATCTAATGACTTCAAGAAC